CTAAAATTGTAGCTGTACCTATTGGCTAATGAATAAGGAAGTGTAAGTTTTGTGTTAACCAGCACGATAATTAAATGTCATACTTTTGTGTTCCACTCACTCTCAGTATAGATTTCATGTTTTAAAGAGTAACAAAAGAAGTGCCCTACTTTTTTATCTAGTCTGGTCTTGAGACCACGGGAATTTAAGATGTTGAAAAGTGCATGTTATGGTTTGAATGTGTCCCCCCCCCCCAAAAAAAAAAAACGAAAAACTGTGCGTTGCAACTTAATCCCCATTGTGGTGGTATTAAGAGGTAGGGCCTTTAGGGAAAAGATTCAAGTCTAGAGGACTCTGTCCTCATAAGTGGATTAGTGCTGGAGGGAACTAGCTTAGGCTCTTTGCTCTTCTGCTGCTCTGCCATCTGAGGACACCTAGATGGTGTCATCTGTAAGGAAAGACATGGAACCTGCCAGCACCTTGATCTTGGACTTCCCAGCTTCCAGAACAGTGAGAAAAATTTCTGTTGGTTGAGGTTCTCAGTCTCGGGTATTTTGTTGGAGCAGCACAGATGGCCTAAGTCAGTGCACCTGTTGGGGTATGTTGTGTAGTGCAGAATGAAACACCTGATTTGGATTTTTTACTTTTCATTTGGTCATTTAGATGGCATGGTCATAGACACAGCTGAGCTTGATTGAGTTCATTGCTTAACCACATTTTTGGAAGGATGCCATTGGTTACCAAGAAAAGAGTTTGTTGAAGGTGTAAGTGTTAGCTAACCATAGATCCTGGATTTTTTAGGTAAGTTGCTTCATGGCTTCACTAAGTATTTGGGAAGAAAGAAATCTTTTATTTAAATTACACAGCTACCTCTATTCTTTATTTAGAGCTGAATGAAATTTACAGGTGCATACAATTACGCAAGAATGAATGGACAGGTATAAATTCCTAAGAAGCATTCTTTAAGCCTATTACTGTTTTTAAATAGGTTCCTTTGCATTCTGTTTCAGTTTCAAATTAGGACCCCAGGTCCTTGATTTAGATTCTGAAATGTGATGTTTTTAAACAAAACGGATCCTAAGATCTTATTACATGGCTGCATGTTTTTTTATTTGGCCTAAAAGGCTTGTTTATGTCTTTCCCATTCTCTTTCAGTGGTTCAGTATTTTGTTGTTTTTGTTTTTGAAGAGGAATGTAGTATTTGTCACTCCCTTATGCTTAATATTTATTCTCTTCTGCCATACTAGTTTTAGATGTTAGCAGGAGTCGTCCTATATCACTGAAGACTTGAGCAATTGAAGAGGTGGAAATGTGGTTAACTCTTACTTTTAGCAAACAGATTTATTATACCAGATGCGTTACTTCGGTTGCTCTTGGAAGCCAAGAGACTCAAAACTGTATGAAGGAAATGGTTGATGCTGTGCATTCTCTAAAGTTTCTTTAATTTATTCCCTTCCCCATAAAATATGGGGAAGCCTAAAAATCTATAAGTAAACCCAACTGTGGTGTTTTCAGATAAATTAGTAAGAAAATCATACTTTTAACTTGAGAATTTTGTTAAAGTGGCACATAGATTAAAACCTATGCTAGCAATAACTAGTAGTGTGATTTCTTTTGATAACTGTTTAATTTAAAAGCTGAAATGAAATAGGACTTCAACCTTTTGGCAAAAACCTAATTTCTGAGTTCATTTCCCACTCAGATGTTTAAGATAAGATAAAATTTATTCATTTTAGTGTATTTAATTGGACTATTAAACCACAATTGATAGGTGGCACAAAGACATGTACATGTGGTATTTCAATTACATTTTTCTAAACTTGTAGTTCATATGCTTTATATCAAAAATTTTTCATTCAGTAGAAAGCCTTTTCTCAGAAACCACATTATAGAGGAGAGGAAATACCTTAGGATTCCATGAACATCAGAATTGGTTAACCTCAGCTTGATTAAATACTCCTGTGTTGAAATGTTTTCTTTATTTAAATGTATTTTATGTTTTTCCTATTTCCCTAAAAGTTAAATTCTTAAAATTTTACTGTGATGTTCAGTGTGCTCAAATGGAAGAAAGGCATAAAAGAAGAAAAAATAGATCTTAATCTTTTGGACATCTGATAATTTGATATATAGGTAAATGTGCTGGACAAATTAAAATGTGTAGCATGATCACATTAAAGAGACAGTTATTTGTCATATGAAATCTTAAGTTCAGATTTTTTTTTTTTTTT